TTCACCTCAGCCTTCCCAATACCGACCAATTACATGTCTACCCACAATTTACAAAATATTGACATCAGCAATTACAAAAAAAATTCACTCACACATCGAACATCATAATATAATAGCGGAAGAACAGAAAGGATGTAGACAGGGCCACATGGGGTGCAAAGAACAGCTGATTATTGATTCCACTATTCATAATCATTCCACCTCCAAAAACAGAAATTTGCATTGCACCTATATTGATTATAAAAAAGCTTTTGACAGTGTTCCTCATTCTTGGTTGTTACAAATATTAGAGATTTATAGAATAAACCCGAAAATAATAGATTTCTTACGCCGTATAATGTTACAATGGAAAACAACACTACAAATAAATTGTGACAAAAATACTATCACAACACGACATATTTCCATCAAAAAAGGCATCTACCAAGGCGACTCTCTAAGCCCACTGTGGTTCTGTCTCGCCCTAAATCCTCTGTCTCATTTGCTGCAGAGCTTTAAGGCAGGATATAGTCTAAAAAATAATATAGACGAAACAACAATATCGCATCTAATATACATGGACGACATCAAATTATACGCGAAAACAGAAAAAGATATGAAGAAATTAGTAGATATTACAGCAAAATTTAGTAACAATATTAATATGCAATTTGGTTTGGATAAATGTAAAACACTTCACACCGTAAGAGGCAAAGTAAGGCCCGGCGACTATGTAGTGAATGACACGGATGTTATTACAGCAATGGAACCGACTGACTTGTATAAATATTTAGGGTATGTGCAACTTAAAGGTCTTGACCACGTACGAATAAAAAGTACACTAACTACGGAATATAAGAGAAGACTTAACGCCGTTTGTAAAAATCAGCTTTCAGGTAAACATCTCATCAAAGCCATAAACACCTTCGCCATTCCCGTATTAACGCACTCATTCGGGGTTATAAAATGGTCCAAAACTGACACAGAACAATTAGAACGTACTACACGAACAACGCTTACGAAATATAACAACCTGCACCCTAAGTCCGCCATAGAAAGATCAACCATAAAACGGGAACTTGGAGGGAGAGGTCTAATAGATATTCAGCACCTAAGGCAGAAACAAGTTGAACGACTAAAATCGTTCTTCTACACAAAGTCCCACACTAGTAATATACATAAAGCCATAGTAACAAATGATATTAACTACACTCCACTTAACCTTAGCAATCAAATAGAAACCCAAAACACTACCATTGATAACCAGCAGACACAAAAAATGAGGATTGGAAGAGGAAACTACTCCACGGACGGCACCCTCATGACTTGGAGCAACCACACATAAATAAGTTAGCTTCAAATAAATGGCTGAAAATAGGCAACTTATTACCGGAAACCGAAGGATTTATAATAGCTATTCAAGACCAAATCATAAACACAAAATCTACAGGAAATACATAATAAAAGATCCTACAGTAATTAATGACAAATGTCGCAAATGCCACATCCACCCAGAAACCATCCAACACATAACAGGCGCATGCACAACTCTGACGCAGACCAACTACACCCACAGGCACAACCAGGTGACCAATATCATTCACCAAAAACTAGCACTCAAACACGCACTCATTAAAAATACCAACACTCCTTACTACAATTATACACCAAAAATTACCCTAGAAAATACTACACATAAACTCTTGTACGACCGCGCCATTCTTCATCATCATCATCATCATTACAGCCCTTCACAAGTCCACTGCTGAACATAGGCCTCCCCCAAAGAATGCCACAAAACACGGTCCTGAGCCACCTGCATCCATCGACTTCCTGCATGTCTTACCAGGTCGTCACTCCATCTCGTGGGGGGACGCCCTACACTTCGCCTACCGGTACGAGGCTGCCACTCGAGAACCTTTCTTCCCCATCGGTTGTCGGTTCTTCGAGCTATATGGCCGGCCCACTGCCACTTCAGCTTACTAATCCGTTGGGCTATGTCGGTCACTCTGGTTCTACTGCGGATATCCTCATTCCTAAGTTTATCACGCAGAGAAACTCCGAGCATAGCCCTCTCCATAGCTCGCTGAGCGACCTTGAGCTTCCTCATACGGCCAGCAGTGAAGGACCACGTCTCAGTTCCGTAAGTCATCACTGGCAACACGCACTGGTTGTACAATTTCGTTTTAAGGTTTTGAGGTATGTCTGACGAGAAGATGTGTCGTAGCTTCCCGAACGCTGCCCAGCCGAGTTGAATCCGTCGATTGACCTCTCGGTCGAAGTTGGACTTACCCAGTCGGACTATTTGTCCCAGGTAAACATACTCGTCAACAACTTCGAGCTTAGTGTCCCAACAACTATCGGCATAGATGTGACATGGACATTAAACATGATCTTAGTTTTGTCCATGTTCATCTTAAGACCTATCCGTTGGGAAACACTATTGAGGTTTTACTGACAAGATAATCCATTATAACAGACCAGATATAATCCTACAAAACAACATAAATAAAATTACGTACCTGATAGACATTGCAGTTCCCAACACACACAACATACAGAAGACAATCACAGAAAAAAATTGTAAGTACGCGGAGCTCAAAGATGAAGTGACTAGAATCTGGCGACAAGAAAAAGTATATGTGGTTCCTATAGTCCTCTCCACAACAGGCGTAATACCAAATCATCTCCTCCATAGCTTGACACTTAATTCATGCAAACAGAAGTAAACGAAATAGGACCTCATGAAAATACATAAATACGAGTATACACACCTCACGCTGCATTTGCTTTGGTTTCGGCCCGTAAATGTAGTTCAATTCCAGTCCAAGGACTGAGAAGTGAAAAACACTTTCCGAAAATAATAATAATAATAAAATATTTATTCATTGACCAAAAGTAAAAAATTATTTAAAAGTTATATATGTTATATGAAGTACTTTTGCACACATTCGAATACTATACATATGTTGATTTTGTCTCCACTGAAGTTTTTCATATAAGCTTGCTTTTCTTAGTTTTTACTACTCCTAATACTGCAGGGAGGCATGAAATAATTTGAGACGTTCCTGCATTTTAAGCATATTAGAGGCATTAAGGTAAGGTGTAACATGTGTTCATCTTGGGATGTAAAAACAGTAACGAGCGCAAGCATTTTGTACCCTTTGAATTAATTTTTTTGATTTTTTAAATAGACAAGGTCCATACAAAGTTATACAATAATTTAGTTTAGACAGAACTAAAGTTTCACATAATTTAACGCGTAAGTTTACAGTGATAAACGGCCTAATTAAATATATAACTTTCAGTCGGAAAAAACAACTTTTTACGATATTAATTATATATTTATCGCTATATATAATTAATATCGTAAAAAGTTGTATTCTATACTATTAGATCTACAGCGGGGATATTCAGAGTTCGCTAATAAAAAAGCCCTTTCTATTTATGTAACAGTTACTGTAAAACACAATCAACCAGATTATATGGATGAAATTGCGAATTTTGTCGCGTTGTGCAATGATGAAATTTGGCGGCTGGATTTTGTGTTGCCCGATACTATTAGTGCAGTGTTTAAAATGTAGAAAATAAAATTTTGGTCATTTATTAACAATAAACAATTTTAATAATAATAAAAATTAAAATTAGTAGGCATAGGGAAGTGACGACCCCATCGCTGCCTCGGCAGAATTAAGGGTGCTAATTTGGGCCCGTTTGTGCTTACGGCCAAATCATGAAACGGTGCCGGACCTGGGCGTCTCCCGTTAATTGACGCCCAATTTATGGATGATGGGAACAGATAGGCCGCGTATTGGAGGCCGCTGGTTGGGGGTCGCCGGGGCAGGTCTGGAGCTCGTGCTGGACGCGAAAGCATGCGGGTCGCCAGCTGAGCGTGAGGTGCTGCACGACCACCTAGCAGCCCCTCGCATCCATCATCCCCACCAGATGGCACGGTGTCGGCAGGGTCCTCTCGGACTCGGCAAGCGGCACCCGCTGCTGGTGGAGTACGCCGCATTGGTTGGACGAAGGAAATGAATATAAACGTGTTGCGGGTGTATTTTAGGGCGAAGGTTTTGCGTACCGGGCTAGGATGCATCAACTTTTCGCTGAGCTGAAGCCGTCTATTACCGTCACCGAGCAAAACCTGGCAGACAGAGTTCGGTACATCATGCGCTCAAAAATATTTGATGACGCCAAACTCGAACGGCTATGACGTGAGGTTATTCCTTCGTTGCATGAAAATACTACGCCAGGAGATGCAGCTCTACGAGTTGCATAGCAACCCGCACACCTATATGCCGCCGTAGATCTCTCTTGTATTTGACTCAGAAGACGATGGAATAGTCGCCCAGAAACAAAAGCAAATGAGGAGCATATTGGAAGAGGCGATTAAGGAAACGTGCCGTACGCCTCTCGGGAATCGACCGCGACTTCTCCGTATAAACAAAATGCTAGTGATTTATTTGGAAACCAGCCGGGACCTTTGCAATACGGACTCAATTCTTTTTGGTGCCGCACTGGTAGTATGCCGTATTATTGGCGCCAAGCTTCCCATGGCTGGATGTGCTACTACACAAAGTAGCCCCATACCAGCCTGGAGAAAAATAATTGAGGACCGTATCGCAAAGACAAGAGCCCTACTCGGCAGAGTGACAAGCTTCAGGTCGGGTAATAATAGACCGAGATCTGTGCGCACCGTCATGATGGCGTTTGCCCAGTCGGATATTACGCATAACCTGACAGAGCGTATAAACGACCTGAAGCAGAGAATCGCTGCTTAGGGAAAGCGGATTCGGTGATATATTGAGAGGTCAACACGGTTCAACCAGAACCGTCCCTTCCAGAGTGATAAGAAGAGGCTCTATGAATCATTGGAGCGACCAATGGTACGTGGAACGGGCAAAGTACCGAATCAGGCCGGCACTGTCGCATTCTGACGAGACCTGTGGTCAGAGCCCGTAAACCACAGCGAGGGCCCTTGGACGAAAGTTGTGGCAAGTCAGTGTGCGAATATTACGCCCATGAACACCATCATTATAACGGCGGACGACGCAACTGAGGCGGTCCGAAGAGCCCCGAACTGGAAAAGTCCGGGGCTCGACGGACGGCATCACTACTGGCTGAAGGGGTTCGTGGTGTGTCACGCTGTGCTCGCCCAACAGTTTCAAGAGGCTCTCGACCAGAGGTCGCTCCCAAGCCTCTTCACTACTGGAATCACTCATTTGGTTCGTAAAGAACGAGATACCACAGACCCGAGCAAACACCTCCCCATCACGTGTCTACCCACGATAGACAAGACACTAACATCCATTTTGAGCGCGATCACTCGTCACCTGAACTCAAATCAGGTGATGTCGCGCCCTCAAAATGGATGTCGGGGTGGTGGTCGTGGAATGAAGGAACCACTTTTCATTGACACGGTCATTGGCAAGGTAGTTAAGCGCAACCGTTGGAACCTCTACGCCGCCTGGATAGACTACAAAAAGGCATTCGACTCGGTGCCTCATACATGGCTGCGGAGGGTCCTCGAGCTGTACAAGGTTGACTGTACACTTAGAGACTTCCTCGGGCAGTATATGGGGCAGTGAAGTACGATACTTTGTCATCTAGGTGAGCGGATGACGGCTGCGGAAAACCACATAAGGATAAGAAGGGGTAACTTCTAGGACGACTGTCTGAGTCCAATATGGTTCTGTCTCTCTCTGAACCCTCTCAGTACCTTACTGGAGGGTTTCGGTAGAGGATTTCAGCTTCGGAGAGGAGGTACAAAAGTGACCCAACTTTTCTATATGGATGAATACAAGTTATTCGCCTTCAGTCGCTCACATCGTGTAGAATTGCTAAAAATCACTTGTGATTTTAGCAATTCTATTAGAATGGAGCTGAAAACGGATAAGTCGAAAGAGGTGGGGTCGCTAACTCTGTGATGGGCATAGATAAGTCTATACCCATCAACATAAGGACCCTATACGAGGCTGAAACATACCGATACCTGGGTATGTCACAGAACAAAGGTATCGATGAAACAGTCAATTTGCGATATGTTTTATGCACGCTTGACAAAAGAGCTCAGCAGTCTTTTGTCGGGCGTGGATAAAACACACGCATATAATGGTTGGGTCATGCCTGTCCTCATATATACCTTCGGCGTACTCAGGTGGACTCAGACCGAACTGAATGCTCTGGATAGAAAAGTCCACGCTGTTATGACGTCCCACAGGATGCATCACCCGAAACCGTCAGTAATGAGGCTGTACTTGTCGCGGAAAAATGGTGGGCGCAAATTTTTAAGCGCTCTCACCATGCATAATCGCGAAGTGTGCAGCCCCCGTAATTATTTTTTGGCGAGATCGGATGATCCATTCTACAGAGTCGTCATTTCGTGTGATAAAGGGCTTACTCCTCTATACTTAGACAACGAGCAATGGCAAGACCCAGCAGTACAGAGCATTACCGAGACTATATGGAAGGAGAAGGAGCTCCACGGGAGGTTCTACAAGGCTCTACATGAGCCTTTCGTAGACACAGCTGCCTCCCTCCACCGGCTACGTTTTGGTGACCTCTTTGGGCAAACCGAGGGTTTTGTCTGTGCGATACAAGATCAGGTTATTAAGAGCAACAAACATCCGAAATACATCCTAAAGGACTACACCGCCGACATCCCTGGCCTGTCATCTCCGGTTGTTGGGCGCTTTTGCATAGAAACAACCTAGTAGCCATGACTCTACACCAGGAGCTTGCTCTGAAATACGGTCTCGTGGATCGGAAACTGTCAAATTATAAGTACGTGCTCGAAAATGACCGCGCCAGGCTCTACTGGGACCGGGCATCATCATAGACAGGACTATTCTTGCGAATAAGCCTGATATTGTGCTGATGGATCGGGCACAGTCAAGGATATTTTTGGTCGACATTACTACTTCTTATGACGAGAACCTCGTAAAAGCCGAAACAGATAAGCTCACAAAATATCTGGACTTTGCTCACGAGGTTACCGACATGTGGGGTGGTCGACCAACCGAAATTATTCCTGTGGTCGTTTCTGCGAACGGGTTAATCTTAGTCAGCCTTTCGTGTCATCTGATGCGACTGGAACTCCGTGAGGGACCGCTCTAGACTCAAATGCAGAAGGCGGTGCTCCTCGATACCGCCTGCATCGTCCGCCGGATTCTTTCCCTTTCCCCCTAACCCTCAGCTGTTTGGTCTTCTCTGCCGAGGGCTGCCATCTGGTTGGGTTTTTATTTATTTATGTATTCTTATGTATATATTTTATTTTATTGATATTTATGTATATTTATATCTTTAATTTACAATTATATATTTAAACAGCCCAACCAGATGAGAAAACTTTATAAATAAACCAGATATGAAAATTACATCACTTGACTTTATTAGGACAAAATTGTGCATATTATTCTCTACAAATCTTAAAAATTCTTGTTGATTTGTGTAATTTCTGCGTAGTTTTAACTTAAGAAAAGAGGATCAGGCAACCTCACGTACCTCTCGAGTGTACGCGTATAATTGATTGGGAAACACTGCGTTAATCATGTTAGTCTTTAGGAATTATTGATCCAAAATTGCTAAGTTAAGGAAACAAGAAAGAGAGCTAACTTTACTGTCAACCTAACCTGCACAAATATTTAAAAAAATATAAACTGACCTTTGACAGGAAGAATAAAGTTATTAATTAAAGACTACGGCCTGAAGCTCGATGATTTCGTAAATTAACGAAGTTATAAACCAGTTTTTTTTCCACTCAGTAAATGAAAATATTTGAAGTAAAAGTCTGAAAACTCCAAGAAGTTATTTATGCGAGTTTTATAATTAACAGAAAGAAGTGCTTAAGTAAGTTAGATGTAATAACTGAACTGTCAGAGACAAGTGCTTTATCTTACGCGAAGCTATTGCAGGGCGTTGTTATGCATACTACGAAATTTTAATTTCTAAAATTTTCAGATTGACCCCTACGTTAACTTTGAGAGTTATCGATATAGAGTGGAATTAACGTAACTGACGAGCCATTATCTGGTGTACTACAGAATTAAACTTGCACGGAATGCTATAATATCCAATGAGGATACCATTACAACCTATCACAAGCCCACTGCTGAACACAGGTCTCCCCCATAATGGGGTATCAGGTTCCGGTAGCGTCCATAGGAATACAAACATAAAAAGGGAGGAAATACCTTGATGTACACGTAATAATTCTTTTGACTCATGAAAAAAATTATATAGTTTTCGGTACTTATGCGCGGATTCCTCCTGGACTATAATATTAAGTATTTGATTAAGCATTATCAGTTGCAATTGTTGACAGATGCGTTGTTATTCTTAAGCACTAAGACAGAATGCCTCGTTTGCAGCAAAAAAATCGGTTCCATACAGTCAATATACGAAATACAGCAGCATTAAGCTGCTAGTTTACGTTGGTATTCTGTGAAAGCGTGTGCTATCTTACGTTAGTATTATGTGAGAACGTGGTCCCACCCTGATCGAGCCGAACCATTCATGCTACAACTATTATATAGCATGCCTACACCACGTAAATATGTATTGACTAGCTGTGCCCCGCGGTTTCACCCGTGTAGATCACGCGTCTGCGCCTTGCGACATGCGAACTTCGAAAGAGACATCACGACGGACGGTTGCTGAATTAACAAAGATTTAAAAAGTGAAATGTTACAAAAATTACATGGTTAATGTAATTGGTGGTTATGCATGATACAGGTACTGATACGAATAATGTGGCCTAGTTTGTACCGGCGTTACTATTTCACATTTTAACATGAAAAAGTAGTTATTGTGACATAACTGTAATTGTTAAAAAACATATGGTATCACAGACTTTTTTGTAGATATTGATATCCTCTATTAAACTGAAGTACATTACTTTGCTCTATTATCAATAGTTTCCGCAGCGTACGCGATATATGGATTCTTTTTGGTATTTTTTTCACACCTTGGGTTACATTAACGAATTTTCATACGGATCCCTAACTTTCTTGAAAATATTATATAGCCTATGTTCATCAGAGATAATGTAGGATTCTAATGGTGAAAGAATTTTTCAAATCGGTCCAGCAGTTTCGGAGCCTATTCGATTCAAACAAACAAACAAACAAATCTTTCCTCTTTATAATAGTATATAGTGTAGATGTAGATGTAGAAGTAGATTATTATAAACGTAAGCTCTACAGTGATAATTTACCAAGGTTATCAAGGTTTACTTTTAAAATATTTGCGTTATTTAATATGGCAATTCTATTCAGAGGGTAGCAAATAGTTAAAGGGAGAGTTCTCTTGAAATGTAATAATCGTCGTCTGCGTCTATTATCCTTGTGAAGAATGAAAGGGTCGTGTTTGTTGCATATTTAGAGCACTTAATCCGATCATCTCTTGATATCTAATTTGTTATAGTTATTCGAAATACAAGTATAAAATGTTCATGATTGAGTTCACAGTAGTCACCAACTTTAATATTGTAGTTGAAACCAATATAAATAGCAGTGAAGTTCATAGTTATATTGGCTGCCTCGTTGGTCTAGAAGTCGTAAACGCGATTGCTAATCTTGAGGTTCCAAGTTCAAATCCTGGGTCGAACTAATCTCAGTTATTGGGTTTATATCTCAAGAAATTCTCAGTAGTAGCCCGGGGTCAGGAAGTTGACGGATTTACGTCGTAGATAGTGCGCCTGATGTCTGTCGCCGAGACGTTTGCGCATACACCATTTTTACTGGAGACGTTTGCGGATAGACCATTTTTACTGGAAAAGAGGCATTCCATCTTAGCCCACGGGTGACAACGCATCTGCATTTTGAGTCTTTATTGAGGATAGATGTAGATGTCTATGCGTCACAGTAACCACTTACCATCAGGTGGACTGTGTGCTCGTTTGTCACCCTGTCCTATAAAAAATACACTCAGGCATACTTTAATCCTATTATATCCAGAAAAATAGCTTCCGTTGAAACTGGCCGCCGCGCCGTCACCGAACTTAGGTCCGAAGTAAATTATTATTATTATTATTAGTCAAATTGGGCGTTCTTGTAACTATTGTTACTGTTCTAAATAATATTATATATTAATTATGTTATCTTGTGACTGCTAGTTATGCTCCTCCATTTTGGTGTTATCTTGTATTTATTTTAAGTGCTTTCTGTGTTTGTTTCATGTATGTTTTACAACATTCAGTTGTTACGAAAAATATAATATTTTAATTTAAACAATTTTAGGAGTAACTTATAAGTATAGGACTGATTGATATAAATAAATAGAAAAGATTTAAAAATGCATTTTATTTTTGTTATAAATAGACTTAGCATTAGCACTACATCTCAATGTACTAATAGTTGTTGGTCTTTCAGATAAGATTTTCATACCTTTTCAAACCCTTTTTAGATTTTCATACCCTTTTTCAGTCTGGCCTTTCCAACGTACCTATTTTGTTTTAACGATAAAAATCTATAGGCGATCAAATCGTATGTATGGATTTGTAACCCACGTCAATTGTGTTGTCGTCACCTTACTCAAAATGTCAGGTATTTACCTGGTAACATAAGATATATTTATGTTATCAGTGATT